GCAGCAGAAATCGAGACTCATTAGACCAGGCAATGTTTTTCCAATCTTCTATTGTCCAATTTCGATGAGCTTGTGCAAATTGTAGCCTCAGTTTCCTGTTCTTAGCTGAAAGGAGTGGCATAGTTTCGCCACAGTAAGTTCTGAGAATAGTGAAGGAGGTAGGAAAGGAAGCAGGATGCTTCCTATTATAGTTAATTTATTACAGGGACCAACCTTCCCATCAGGCTTAGAGGGATTCCCATAATCCTTTGCAAAACATGATGCATAGGCATAGCGTAATTATTTGTTCACATGAACTCTGTGTGACACGTGCTAATGTTCACATCCTCAGATGCTTGGGGTTTTATTAATGACAGCTACAGCTGTTATATCTGAGTAACTTTTAGTTTTTTGTAGTTCTTTTTCAGCAGGCTGAAGTCAATCAATCGGATCTTTTTCAGCGCAGATCTAGCCAGCTGAAAACGAAATCCTATAATGAGAAATGTTGCTCATAACCCTCTACTCTTTTTAGGCAAAAGAACTAATTATGCTCCATCTTCTGATCTGTGTCAGTGGCTTATTATACATATATATAGTTTTTAATTCCTGCCTGCTTTCTGGTGAGTGTAGCTCTTTTAAGGGTGTTTTTTTTTTCTCCCCACATCTGTTTCTCATCACTGTTCTACCATGTGCTGCAATGAGTGTGTTAAAGCATCTGATAACTTTCCACTTTAGGAGCATTCACTAAGGCTACGGTGAGCTGTGGCTTCCTATAATCTTACAGAGACAAGCTTGATCTTCTCTTACTTGACCAAATAATCGCAAAGATTTTATGCTCAGGAGGAAAAAAATCTGTAATCAAACACCATGAACAGATAAAGCAACCATAACTGCATCCTGGAGCATTGTGTTTGAACAATAAGAGGAATCCAAACCTGTGATTTGGTACCAAATACATGGCTTTAATCAGATGCAGCTGCTTCTGGATTCTGCATGAAAAGATTAGTAACAACCACTATCAGGGCTGGAAATAAGATCTAAGAAACCAAAGGAGAACTATTGATCAGGAACATCGTGAAACATCCTGTCTAATAAATATATATCTATATGTATTTATGTATACATATATATCTAGATAGATATATAGATTAATTTATCTAGATAGATACAAGGGCTGCAACTAACGATTATTTAGCAAATTGATTAATCAGTCCCTTATTTTTTCGGTTAATCGATTAATAATCAGATAGCCAAATGTTCCTTAAAGAAGTTTTTTTTTTTTTTTGTTTTACGAAATCAAACCAAGTGAAACTAAAACTTTTTCATCTAAAGAGTTCAGGATAGAGCGCACTGACAGATATTTTTTTTTTATTTTCTTAAATGCACTATAGATATATATATATATATATCCTGCAATTAAGAGTTTAATTTCTTATTTAAATTCACATCAGCGGCTTTATGTTTAAAACTAGACATAGAAAGTGCTGTAAAAAATTCTCCCTTTGCAGCCATGTTACAGCATTTTCACACATTAAAGCCTGTTTAAAGTCATTCCACAGCTTCTCTACTGGATCTAAGCAAAGACTTTGACTAGGCCATTTTAAAATCAGAGGTGGGAACATGGCTCTTATGCTTCTGCTAAATAATTCTATTGTGTCAAATCTAATGTCAACAGCGGGACACTTAGACAGTCTCCATTATTTTCTAATAAGTTGTCCAAGCAGGAAAACAGCCCCACCAACGCTGTTTGACCAACGATAGGCTGCTTTCAAATTCAGCTCATTTTTAACCAGATTAAACAAAGAAACTAGATTCAAGAAGCTCCCCCTCTGTCTGGGCAGTTAAAAGAACTCATCAAGACGTATGATGGAAAATGGGACAGAGTCCTTTATGATCTTTTGGTGCAGTTTTATTTTGGAACTTTTCCTTTTTGGTCCAGACGCCTTCCTGTTGAGACTAATGTGGTTCAGGAGGTGGGGACTCTGATTGTATGGCAGCGTGGCTTCTGTCAGTGTGCCCCAGGGCAGCTGAGGCTACAATGTAGCTTATCCCATTAGCATGTGAATTAATTAATGGAGTAAAAAGCCCTTTGGAGTCCTCTGACTTGATTTAGTGCTATGTAGTATATAATGACCTGGGAATCAAACCAGCTCAGTAAACCTGAAGTGCTTTAGGGGTTTTGGTTTTGTTGTTACCCTCCTGGCTGAGGGGTTAATACAACTCATGAGTAATATTAGTCGGTGAGCCCCTCTGAGATAAGGGTTCATGTTTTCTCCATCTGTAGACAGTGCCCTTATGCTTTAAATGGCTTTATAACCCATTTCAGATCGACAGACTTATTTTTTCTTTTTTGTTGAAGTCTATCCTACTCATGTTATATTATATTATGTTATATTATCAGCTTTTATACGAGTTCCTTATTGTCATAATCAGGACTCGGCTGGTAAATTTAGCCGCAATTTTTATTTATTTACTCAGATTATCTTTAAAATTTCATCCTCTGCACTGCAAATATTTATTTATTCACTTTACTTTTATCTTTTTATAATATTATATGCGTTTCTTGTGTTTTTATGTGTGAATGTGTGTGGAAGGTGTACTACTACTGCACAAAATTCACCCATACTGGGACAAATAAAAGCTACTGAACTGAAAACATTTAAAAATGATTGATTGAGATTCACAGGGAAATGCTTAAACGCTTTACAAGGAAGATTTTCTAAACCACTGTGTAATCTTTTATTTTGGAGGGTAGAACCGGAAGTTACCAGTTATACACAGACTAAAGCCAGCGATCCTTTAGCTTTTTTTCCCTCTGGCTCAACAATAAATTTCGAGTAGAACATTTTACAGACACCACCGTTATGCCGTTCTTCTAACTATTATAACTATGGTAAAGTTAAAGATGAATACCAATAAATCCAGGTCTTTATTGTTTATAACACATCCAACTGAAACTAATCTGGAAACTAAACATTCTGACCGATTAAAGTTTAAATAAACCCACTTATTAACCCCGGTCAGCCGCTGATGAGAGGCTAATTAAAAACCTACCAGGGACAGCTAAGAAGTTGTTAAGTCAAAAAGTTACAACTACAGGCCTAAAGTTCGCTCTTGATCTGTTTAACAGAAGTTTAAAACAGTATTTTAAATAAAAAAAGACTAATAGTAATCAGCTCAGACCAGGTGATCCGCTCAACCAGGCCACCATTGATTGTGAGAACCAAACATCCTGTTTTTAATTTTCAGATCGATATATTTTTAATGTGAAAACTTTGTAATACCAGCTAGTCTTACCTCCATCATCACCCAGAAATCTCAATCACGTTTTGTTTTTAAAATTCCACTTTTAGTGCTGAACTTCGCCCAAATTTCCTCCAGTATAACATGGCACCCGCTTCCTGATTGTACGCGTACGTGGAAGTGACGTCATCAGACCTAAAAGTGTGTCAACGTTTCAAAATAAGAGTCCGACAGTGAACGCTCCGAAATGACTAATCCATTTTTTCAAAAATCTGTAGGTAAAGAAAATCATAAAATTGAAAACCTGAAAAAAAGTATATATATTTACTAGCATATATATATATATATTTTTTTTTCCAAAAAAATATATATACATTTTCAAAAAACTATTTTTTTTATTAAACAAAAAAATACATTTTTTTGGTCTCCACTTGAATAACAATTGTCTTTCTTTAAAATTGCTTTATTTACATTTTTAAAGTGACATTTTTTTCATAACTTTTATAATAATGTAATTAAAAAAGGTAAAACTCAGTCTGTTGTCGCCCTTATGTACAAGCAAGAAAAACAATAAAAAAAAATAATCAATAAAAAAAAATTATCAACATACTCTTGTACAACAGTGGAAAAACAAGAACGACTAAAAAAACAACAAAGCATTTGAATGGAACAAAACATTTCTAGAGAGATTCATAACAATAAAAATTACAAGCAATCTCTTACATACAGACGTGTGCGTATACACATAAAGCAGCGTGTAAGCGGTTATTCCAGGTGTGAAAGGAGATGGTTTTAGGGCATAAAGCTCATACTGCACAGCAAAGATGATATCGCGCTGAGGAACAATGCAGACCGTACTTTACGCACATGCGGTTCTGTGGTCCGAGCTACAAAGGGCCAGTTTGAGAGCCTGTTTTAGTCTTTCTGAGGCCCTCAGATGGATTGGATCAGGATTTTTTCCATGAAGAACAAACAACAGTTTGTTTTACTCTGATCTAATAACTAAAAGCCAAGCAGGCATCCAACCGTCAAACACATTTAATGATGATATGTGCTTCAAGGGAAGTAGTTCATCACTCATGTACAGACATCTTTTTTCTGCTAAAACAAAGATTAAAAGACTAAATGCTGGAATAAATAACAAAAAATATTCTTTTATTACCTTACTGATCTTAAAGAACATTTGCACAATTAACACTGCTTTAATAAAACCTTTTTCAATTTTTCAGGTCAGAAGCCAATTAAATTTAATAAAAAAACACAAGCAGAACATTTCAAAATCTATTGAAATTAAAATCTGTGCAAGAGAAACAATTGATCTTTGCTTTATAACGAGTTTCTGTTTATAAAAAAAAAAAAAGGAGTTTGAGAATTTTCTGATACACAAAAGAAAAAGACCAACTGATTTCCTGAAGTTAATCACATAACTCTGACTGAATAGTTCTTTTTTACTCAGTTTATGAACCTTTAGAGTAAAAAAACAAAAACTCTGATGTCAGACATTTAGGCCTCACGTATCAAACTCCTGCAAACGTCCAGATTACATTCTGTACAAAAAGCAACCCTGAGTTTCTTCTCTGAAGCGACTGATACCGATTCATATTTGCTCCGACTAATCGATACACCTGCTTCAAACCGAACACTGGTCCCTTCAGCAGATCAAGGATCACTCAGGTCAGTCATTCACACACACACACACACACACACACACACACACACATAGAGCTGATTGCTATGGGTTCTCAGTGGGTGAACCGTCACTGGAACATAAACCACCGTCATGACAGAAACGAGTGAAGATGAAGGGAGCTGGGCGTGCTGGATGCTGGACGTGACGACCGATGCTGCAGCCGGTGGCGGTCTATCATGATGGGCTCCACACCCCCCAGCCCCCACAGACCGAGCCATTCCCCTCCCGCTCACTTCTCCCCGATTGGCTGCCTGTCGAGCAGCGTCTTCCAGTGTCTGACCAATCAGGAGTAGATGGTGATGACCTCACTTCCGCCACCTCTGACCAGCAGGACTCGCTCCAGTCCTTCAGTCAGAACCTCCAAGAACTCCATGTCTGGGTCAGGAGTTAATGAACATCTCACAGCTTGGACCAGAGAAACAAAGCAAAATGGCCGGCTAAAGTATTCACACCCCAAATGTTTCAACTTATATGGTTTTTATTAGGAGTTTACCTGCTAGTCGAACACAAAACAGTAAAAAAAATATGAAGTAGATTTAAAAACAGGGTTTATACAGGAATGAGTATCTCTAATTTAATGCTCTTTTAATGCCTTTTAGTCCTCTTTACCATCGACAGGCTGCAGCCATCTCCACTTTTGTTGAAATTTGCTTTATCCAATTCTCTCGCTTTTTCTCAGCCTCTAGCATTTTTCTCTGAACGTACGGCTTTACGAACAACTAAATGCAATGCCGCACAAACATAATGCGATATATCTTAGACTTAGACAATTTTTATTTTGCCATTTTGTATACACAAGTGTAAACAAAAAGGAATTTTTGTTTAAAACGTAATATCTGAAGAAATTGTTTTATAATTGTTTTTTTGTTTTTTTAATAAAGCATTTTAAATGCCAGGATAATGCCAAATAAGGCCTTAGTTTAAAAAATAATAATTAAATGACTTTTAATAACCTGCAGAAACCCTAAAAAAAAAAAAAAAAGAAAAAAAAAAAAGAAAAAATGTGCATCAACCAGTCTCTGGAAAGGTATTTTTTACTCTGGATAAAAAAAAATAAAAAAAANATAAATAAATATATATAAAAATAAGTAAAAACATGACAAAATCCTTCGTCCTCTTTACCGTCGGCAGGCTACAGCCATCTCCACTTTTGTTAAAATATGCATTTTCCAATTCTTTTGCTTTTTCTCAGCCTCTGGCATTTTTTTCTGAACGTACGGCTTTACGATCAACTAGATGCAATTCCGCGCAAACATATTGCGATATAATATATCTTAGACTTAGACAATTTTTATTTTGTCATTTTGTATACACGAGTCTAAACAAAAAGGAATTTTGTTTAAAACGAAATATCTGAAGAAATTGTTTTATAATCTTTTTTTTTTATAAAGCAATTTAAATGCCAGGATAATCACATTTAATGAATTTTAATGCCAATTAATGCCTTAGTTTAAAAAATAATAATAATTTAATGACTTTTAATGATTTTTAATGACCCCCGGAAATCCTAAAAAAAAAGAAAAAATAAATTGTGCACTAACCAGTCTCTGGAAAGGTATTTGTTACTCTGAATTAAAAAATAAAAAAAAGAGACCAAATAAAAAAAGCCCTTTTTTTTTGGACTCATGCTTAGGACTGGGCACCAAGAATTGATTTTCTATCGGAATCACTTCAAAAGGAATCGTTCGATTTTCTTTGTGTTTTGGATTCCTAGTGTTCTTTCAGAAATAGCGAAACAGCGAAGAAGAATCCACAGCATTGTGTCTGAAACAGTCTGTTTGTGGTGCAACCTTGAAAGAGCGCCTCAAGTAAAAAAAAAAAAAACTAACCAATGGTTTCATGCAACACTGGTGATGAGATTATAATATGCAAAGCCGTGATAGTTAACAGCCGGAGTCACTCATCTTCGACCCGCCGCACCGGTGTTGTGCTAAGGTAGGTACCCTGGGAGAATGTATTCCTCCTCTAAATTAGCAAAGCTTCTAGAGGGAGAGTGGAGCCTTTTTTGATTCTTCCTTCCTCTTAGTTTACATCCTGACAGATACCTGCCTTGTTTCCTACGGCTTCTGGACAGAACAAAAAGAACTTTATCGCGAGATCTGCCAGACTTTAATAATAATTTTAAGCCCAGGTTAATTGATTGTTCATTTTAGTTAATTTGGAATCTGTTTCTTATGATAAAACCCATTAACTGTACATCCAAGTACACAATCGCACTGTTTCTCAAAAGTACAACATCTCTACTTTAACGTCTGGTTGAATGGAGCTGAGGTGCATTAAATGATACTGAGGACATAAACTGTCAGGATGCTTTCCTGCTGTGATGCTTTTAACATGAGATGCAACTCTGTAGGAATTACTTTACTAAGATTATATTACAGTTCATGGGTTTGATATTTATGCACTGGTTGAAGATTTCTATTAACGTTCACACAAAGTTGGATCTTAAAGGAATTAAATTTAGTTTAGAAGTTAGGACTATCTGATCCAGACAGAAATCAGTTAGCCAGTTAATTATAACAGGTAAACTTTTATGATTTTATCTTCTTAAAACATTGGGAATCGATAGGAACCGGCATCGAAATGAGGAAACTGAACCAGTATTGTTAAAATTCAAATGATGCCTAACCCTACTGCAGTTAGCTGCAGGGTACGTTCCTCAGAGCAGATGTTGTTCTGGGGTGCCAACATTTTAGCTGGATAAAATGTTTTTCTGAGCATCTAACTAAACGCCCCTTCAGCAGAAAGGATACAGTTCTCGTCTCCTTCAGGGTTCTTCGGGGGTCCTGGCATGTTGAGCAGAACAAGCCGGGCATCGTGGGATTTATTCACGATGACCTCGTTGAGTTTGACGGCGGTGTGCATCCTCCTGACGTTGGAGTGGTCCCTGAAAGCAGACAGAGACGCAGTTAGCCCCCAGCTTAGGCAGTCAATGCGATCAGAGAGGTGGCGGCGTTATCCGTGCTCACGGCCTGATGCTCAGCATGTCCCTGAACCCTTCGGGCGTGGAGCAGCCAGAGTGGGTCGCTCTGTACTGGGCCGTCTTCTCCTTGGTCCATGTCATCTGAACGCGCCGATGGTGCTCTGTGCTGCTGCTCACCGGTCGGTCCCTCTCTCCGCCGTCGGTGTCGTCATCGTCGTCCGACCCGATGCTCGTCAGACGCAGCATTGAGTTACGGTCCTTCACCAACTGGGCCTGGGTTCACACACGGAAACCAACATGGATCCAGCCCAGGAAAGCGATTCTAACCTGATCCGGTTCCTTTTTTCAAGCTCATGTCTTCCTGCTCTGCTCTACCATTAAGTCCTGACTGCTATTCTCTGTTTCTCTCACAGCCTCTTTGTACCTGTCTGTTTCTGTCCTCTTTGATGGGGTTTGACGAGTGGACGTCAGTACTCCTGAACCTGGGTGAGAGATACACCTAGAGACAACACAAGGTCACCTAACAGGCTAAAAACCAATCACAGTCTGCCGCTACTCTACCGGGAGCGCTACAAGAGAGCTGGGCTTCCTAAACACACGAGATGTCTGAACTTCAGCAGGAGGAACAGAAGAGAGAATCTACAGACGGACAGATCTGTAGGAAAATCACTTTAAACAATTAAACCATTTCTATTCAAATCTCTACAAACCTGCAGTTTGTTGATATCAATGTGATTAAAAGAAGAAAGATGTGTTTCACGTTAAAAATGTCTGCTCTCTCAGAAGTTCAGAGATCTTCACTTACATCTAACTTCACACAGCCTCCTCTTTTCTAGAGCAAATGGAGACACAAAGTAAACTTACATCGTCAAAACTCCAGCGAACCCTCTGAGCAAACCAGAGGAAAGAAGAGAGGACATGACAGTCAAGTTTTGATCCTTAAACCTTTTATTTCCTCCTTCTTTTGCCTCCAGAAAAGAGCTAATATTATGTAGAACCAATACAGAAAAAAAGAAAAATCCAGGTGGGAACATTCCTATTTTAATCAAATTGGACATCCATACTGGCTTCACAGGGGGACAGTGTAAATACTGATATTATACACTACCCCAAAAAAAAAATGTATAATGGAACAGTCAAATAACACATCCTGGATCTGAATAAATTAATTTTTCTCATTGAATACTGTGGTGCAACTTGATGTTGCTGGATGTATTGAGATATGATGTCCCAGATGAGCTGTATTGGATTCAGGTCTTGCAGGAACTGCTCACACACTCCCGCCACATGAGTTCTAGCATTGCCCTGTATTAGGAGGAATCCAGGGCCAATGACAACAGCATATGGTCTCAAAAGGGGTCTGAGGATCTCATCTCGATACCTAATGGTAGCCATGCTACTTCTGGCGAGCACATAGAAAGAAATGGCAAAGAAATGCCATCCCACATCATTGCTAACCCACTGCCTAACTGGTCATGCTAAATGATGTTGCAGGCAGCAGATCACTCTCGGATGTGTCTCCAGACTGTCATGTCTGTCACATGTGCTCAGAGTGAACCTGCTTTCATCTGTGAAGAACACAGGAGGCCACTGCCAAATCTGCCTATCCTGCACCGTGTTGGGCTGTGAGCCAAACTCTAATCTGTGGACGTCTGTGGCCCTCATGCCATCCTCATGGAGTTGGTTACATTGTTTTCACATACATGCACTCTGGCAGTGCTCCTCCTGTTCCTCCTTGGATAAAAGCAGAGGTAGTGGTCCTGCTGTTGGGTTGTTACCTTCCTACTGCCTCCTCCACATCTCTTAGTGTACTGGCCTGTTTACTGGTAGCGCCTCCAGCCTCTAAACACTACGCTGATAGACGAAGCAAAGCTTCTTGCCACAGCTTGCATCAATGTCCCATTCTGGATGAGCTGCGCTACCTGAGCCCCTTGTGTGGGTAGTAGAGTCAGTCTCATGCTACCATAAGTGTAAAAGCACCACCAACAGTCAAAAATAATTAAAACATCAGCCAGACAGCATAAGTACTGAGAATTGGTGTTTGGTCCCCACCTGCAGAATCACTCCTTTATACAGTATTTCTTGTTAATTGCAAATAATTTCCTCCTGTTTTCTATTCCATTTGCACAACAGCATATGAGACTGATTGTCAATCAGTGTTGGTTTGATATGTGTTCCTTTTTTTGAGGAGTGTACAAATAACAGATTACTACTTTATTTCTACTGTGCAAGTTTATAACAGGAAACAAAACATGTTACTGCAACACTGCTAAATGTAGCAATAATAATATTTTTTAAAATCCTGACTTTCTTTTTTATTTTCTGCAATTCTCAGATGCTCACCACTTTCTTAGTTTCAGCTTCTCAGGCAGACTATGTAAACTGAAAGTTAGAGCTCCCCCTGCTGGTTGAATATATTGTTGGAATGCAGAGTTTGTTTCTGCATGAACATAACATTAATTCACTGTGTCTAAATAAAACTGGTTGTTTTATCCTAAAAACTGAGTTCTAATGATACGTAGTTTAACAGACTTTACAATTGAAAATAAAATAAAATCAGATTTTGTTTCCATTCTCTCCTGAAATACAATCAAGCTAAACTAGAAGAAACAAACTGACTTTGACGAGTTTGACCTTTATCTTCTGTGTTTAAAATGCTGTTAAATTATACACAGGAGGACCTTTAAAGCAACGATGCTTTACTTTTGATCCAAGTATTAGCATAATTTGATATATTTTTTATTATTTTTTTAGGTATTTATCCAGAACTTCATGTATTGATGCTCTGTGCAGGCTGCCATTTTCAAATGCCCCCCTATGAAAGTCTAGAGGGTCACGTTAAAACATCACTGAATGTGAACCAGAGCGTGTGTGCTCCTCCTTAAACATCAGAGCTAACTAAAATTGAAAGATATGACTCTTCCCTGCTTAGAAATAGTTCGAGATTTAATCTGGAGGTAAAAGTTCCCTTAATCTGCTGATCCAAAGTGTCTGATATCTGATTCTAAGAAACAGAGGGAAGTTGTTCAGCCCCTAGTGGCCAAAATGACACAGTGTACTAATTAAACTTTAATTCATAAATACACAATTAGAGTTATGTTTTATACTATTTGGGAAAGCGTATAAATCGTCTATGGGATGAGAATGAATTAGCGAAGACCTGAAGCTTTCTTGTTTTTTTCAACCAAGCTCTCAAAGATGTAGAAAACAAAAACATAAGTGCCTCCTTCATCAAAATAAACGTATTTAACCATAAAAGCAGCGTTTTCCCATGTTTACCTCTTTTTCCCGATCTGATTTAGAGAGCCGCATTTGTCTGAGCATCTGAGACCTCTGCTCCATCATCAGCGTCCTCTCGTATGTGTAGGCACTGATGTCGCTGTTATGCTGCAGAGAGGAAAGGATACAGGGATTATTACACATCTATTACATAAATTAACACGTCATCAACATATCAGGCGACTACAGGTAGATAAAAGGTTCAGCTGCTACAAACTGAGCTGGATTAGTGGATTCTGTTTTTTTTTAACACTTTTCTGCATTTTGGCTGTGTTTAGCGCTGTACGTGACATTTCATAAGATTCCAGCTTTTATTTTAGGAAGTAATGACTCAGTAGAAAGAAATGTTTGGTTGCAGGCGTTGCTCTGGTTTTAAGAAATCAGCGGATTCCATCTACAGCTCAGAAGAAGCAAAGGAAAGAAAAGTGGGACCTCTGTGTGTTCATACCATCTCCACTACCTCCACCTCAGCTTCAATGCGCAGGTGATAGAGGAACGTCGCTAGATCCTTCTTCATCTGGATGGAGTTATCCTCCATCTGAGCCACCGTAAAGATCCGCATCCTGCATTTACGCCAAACCTGAGAGGAGAGACGATACCTTCAGAGGACATGTTGGCAAGAACGGATGCGAATGAAACCGATCCGGTTTTCCCACCTTGTGCTGCCGAAGGAGAAACGGCAGCAGCATCAGCATCCCGCCGTCGTGGACGATCCACCACACGTCGATGTAGCCTTCCGTCGAAGGCTCGTTGTTGCTGGGGAACAGAGAGATGTTTTTGGGCACCAGTAAGGCCAGGTGGGCCGCTGTGGTCACCCGGACCGTGTCTGCAGGGAACAGAGGAGGGCGATCCGTTAACCTGACAGAGGGAGGAGGTGGAAGGAGAGAAACGTTTGTGTTTTGATCCTCTGTGACTCACTGATGAAGGTCTTCCAGGACTGCGGGTCCTCGCTCTGCCTCCAGGCGTGAGGCCAGCCCATCACCACAGTGTTGGGTTTCATTCCTCCCAGTCCGCTGGACTGGATCATGTGACTGATTCCCTCACGCGGCTTCTGAGCCACTATGCACTGAACGAAGCCCTTCACTCGTTCTTTGTCCATGAGATGCTTCAAAGTCTGATGGAGGGGAAGAAAAAACAGCATGTTTGATTCTTTCCAAACACAGAAAGATACAAAAGTCTCCTTCAAGTAGTTAAATACAACTGATCTGTTTGACTTTCTAGCAGGACTATGACTCTAAACATGCAGCCAGAGCAACATTTGAGAGGGATTAGTTCCTAAAGGCCATTCAAAGTCCAGACCCGAATTTAAATGGAAATCCAAACTCAGTTATGATGTAAATGAACATTATTTACTAACAGACGTCTGAATTCAGTTTTTAAACTGTTTATTATGGATGTGATTTTCTTCATCATTTTAAATATCAACTAACTCCATCTTTGGTAAATGTTAGATTTTAATGCATGTGTGTTCATGTGATTTTTCCCAACAGGACAACAGATGAAAATTAGCACCTTGTGGCTAAAGCTGGAATATTTGATCAAGTACATTTATCTCCAATGTCTCATTATAAACAAACCAAAAACTGATGATCAGAGATGCTCCCTGTCTGCTCTGACTGAGCGTTTACAAAGAAGAAACAGCTGATAGGTTTTCATTTGCTTGGTTTGATAAACAAAGCACTTGGTGTGCTTTGTTCTAGTCGATCACAGCAGTAACCTTAACAATCCAAAGAGCAATTTTTTTTACTTCAGTCCGGTCTATAAAACTTGTTCGGAGTCACAAAACGTTTTTACGAAAAGAAAAAGATAACTTCTATTTAATAAATATCCACCGTCGGACATTTGTTTTTGAACAACCATCGTCCCAGTTCAACTTTAAGGTTTTAAAATGAAGGAAAAAGGTTGAAAAAGTAGATAAATACATTTTCTTTTGTTTAAAAACAAGATTATCCCCTTAAAAAACATGTTTTTTTTATCATAATTAGTCAATTGATTTTGTGAATTGAAGAAAACAAACAATGATCGATTGCCACTCAGCTGATAAAACTAAATTAAACCCGCAAACATCACGTGATTGTTAAAAAAAAAAAAGAAAAGAATATAGTTTATATTTAACTAAATCATTTTTTAAAAACCCCAACATTTTTCCCCACTTAAAAAAAAAAAAAGTTAAACAAAATATTTTCTTGAAAATTCAATGCAAATAGAGGAGAAAACCCTAAAACATGTATTTGTTAGTTCCTCTGTTGTTCAAAAATCTGGATCTTCATCATTTTAAGCCAAAGTGTTAAAGAGCCACCTGCGGCTCCGGGGCCATTGGCTGCAGACCCCGGGTCTATCAGGTTAAAATGGCCGCTCTTCAACATGAACAGTCCAATGAGGGATAAACACTTCATCTAGACTCAGTTTGACTTTCAGTGTTTTCAGACTCCGTTCATTCTGGCTGACATGTTGACACAAGCTGACCTGTTCGGCAGCCAGAGCCTCTCCGTACGTCTGCAGGAAGTTCCCTGGGACGACGGTTCCTACGATGGTCAGACCCTTCCCCGCCTTTAGCTGGCTGGCGAACGTCAGCAGGCGTGGAGACTTGACGTGGGCGTCTTCATCCAGCTTTAGCAACACCAACAGCTGGGGCCTGAATGGGGGAGGGAAGGTAACAGCTGATGCATAGAAGGCAGGAAGCAAGGCTGTTAGCTGCGTCACCCTCACAGCGCTCTCACCTCCAGTTCTTGGTGTGCGGAGGTCCTTCCTCCAGCCTCAGGAGGGCGTAGCGAGCAGCGCTGAGTGACAAACCACGGATCCCATCCCCCCACTCCTTCTCTGCTCTGAAAAACACAAACATAAAAAAAATATTGTTTCAAATCTAAAAAAAAAAAAAAAAAGAAACTGGACTTAAAGGAATCCTAACCATACTGTACAAGGAGAAATGCATGGAGCAGATATATCACCATGGCAACATACCCGTGATATTCAATGTATTTGTAGATCATGGTGGCGATCACCATGGCGATGATTGCGTAGTACCATGAAGATATGAACATGAGTGCGAGGCAGATGGTCATCCCCAGAAAAGATAAGGACCTGGATGGATGTGGAGCACAGCGTTACCGTGGGATACGCCCCCATGTGTGTTACTGTGTGTGTGTCTGTCGCTACCAGTGGTAGTAGGAGAAGCGCGGCCTCCAGTTGGGCGTCCGCAGCAGCGTCTGCAGCGCGCAGGCCAGGTTCACAAACAGGTAACACATCAGGAAGAACCTGAAAGGAGCAAAGCGTCAGAAGCGAGCACTGAGGAGCTGGAGCGAGCTGCAGCAGCCGGGTGGGCGGGGCTCACATGGTGAGGATGGGGGCGACCAGGTCCAGGGAGGCGATGAGAATCCCCAGTTCGGCTATCAGCGCTGTTAACAGCAGAGCCCAGGTGGGTTCCCCGTTAGCTTTCCCATGTCCAAACACCTGGAGAACGGCATAAGACTTCAGACCAAAAAAGAACAGCTAAATAAGCAGGTTCACGATAAGAACCACTTCTAATCCAGATTGATTACAGATCAAATGTGAACAGGAGGAGGTAGACGGGGCTGGAAAGAGAAATGGAGCGTCTCTTTTCTCTGGTCTGTTCACATATCAAGGAGAAATCAGCAGATCTCTACCTAATGCTGCTTGAATATGGAACCATTGCCAAGATTTTTGGTTGTTCATGTTTTCATCCCCTTTGGTTTCACAATGATCCGTTAACCCTTTTTAGGACAAGTTACCGTTTTGATCCCATGCATACCCCTTACAAATGGAGGTCTAGAAGCGCAAGATCTATATCCAACCATTCAGCAAAGATACTGCGTCATGGCTGTACATCTTATTTTGCCATTTGACAAATTAGATGAACCCTTGAATGATAATTTAACCTACTGGAAATGAAGGTGAAAAATAAGTTAACAAGTCAAGAAAAAGTTAAAATGTTAATAAGCATAGCTAACAATTATTTTTAGGTTTATAAACTAAAAAATGTAAGTGCAAGTATCAGCATTATTGCCTCTAAGAATTTCTTATAGAAGCACCTTTGTTATTTTTCTTAAAATATTCGGTCAAGTTGGCATTTCTTGTTATTACATTAACTTTCATTTTTGCCATCAAAATATTTTTTATACTTTTTGAATGTTATAAAGGTAATAAGGTCTTGTCCTGGATTCCAATTCCAATATTGGCTTGAAATTAGGATTTCCAAAGTATTTCGCTGAGCGCCCTATAATGATGCTTATATTTTGGTCTCACATTTGTTAAACATTGAAATGAGAACGAACCGATACGATCAGCCGACTTGTTTAAACAACATGATTATCACATGTTACTGTTTTTTAGGGACACATAATGAGCAGAAAAAGGGCTTTAAATGCACTTAATGTGCAGAACAGCACGTAGGTTCAGAGAGCTAAGTCAGATATCAGGTTAGTGTAAAAACACTGGCTGCATGTCAGCGTGAGATGCTAGAAATCTGGTTAAAAATCAGAGGAAAGAATCACCTAAATAAACAAGAAACAATAATCAAATCTGAGACAATGATTAAGATCTTAACAGCAGAGATTTACTAAAGTTATATTCATTAAATTTAGCATATATTTTGTATTTTTCTTCTGTAAGCTACTCATGAAGTCTTTCAGCTCTCTGAGTCTTTATCTGGGAGGCAGACAATAAATAAAGAGTTCATAAACTTTATCAGGTTAGAGTAAATCCTGCCCTGAATATTAGACAAATACACCAATAACTGATATGGAAGCTCAGTAAACTGGAGCTAATATTAATAGAAAACTCTTCATGTATGTTTAGAAAGCTTCACATCAAAGACTAAAAATGAATCTTATAGTGGAGTCTGAAATAAAGCAGTAAACCTGCAGCTCCTACCCGTAGGAATGGGATGATGTTGTCCTTTGCGATGGCCTGCAGCAGTCGGGGGGCGCCAGTTAGTGACTGCAGACCGGCGCCGCACGTTGAGAAGAAAGAACCAATCACAATGACCCAAGGAGACGGCCACGCCAGGGTGCCCACCACCAGATTACCTTTAACCGAATCGCCAAACCTGTAAAGGTGAGAAAGCTTTAATTTGTCTGAGTTTCTAAAATCACAGAAGAAGAAGTTGTTTTTTTTTATCTTGACAGAACAAATCAAAGGAATGGGTAGAGAAAGACTGACTTGTCTCTGAGGACGACCCCCTCGATGCAGGCTCCGAACAACACCACGCTGCTCAGGTCTGCAAGAGCTGGACTCAGGAAAACAACCTTCCAGCTTTAAAGCATCAATCCCAAAGGTCAGATATTGGTGATTTAGTGAACAAAGTGTGGCGGGGGAACCAATGAGGGAGCTGCTACATCTAAGGTTAGTGTTGCAGTGCATAGTCATTTTAACAATTGTGTGTGGGAAAACTAGAGATACATAGAGTATATTTGATATATATCGCCAATCCCTAAATATGCAGAAAGAATTTAAAAATGAAAGGAATTAATTGCAGTATTTGATAATGGATTAAAAAATGTATAATCCCTCTTTAATAGTTATATGTAAAATGTTAAATGAGAAAACAATGGATTTCCAATTGTATGATTCAAATATTACATTTGAAAGGTGTGTTTTCATACAGTATTTCGGGGAATCTCTTGGTCCTCCATAGCTCTTAACCAGAGGACTTGCATAAATAAGCTAACGCTAATATTAGATTTTTGTTCAGCATATCTTAATTACATGTAAAGCAGAAGCTGATGTTTTTAAAGATGAAGGATACAGACGAGGGAAGTTGTTAGGATAGCCAGGATGGTTCCGATGGGGATGGAGCGCTGAGCGTCTTTTAAATCCCCTGAACGATTTGAGCCGGCCATGATTCCTGAGGAAGATTAGAAAACAGGAACAAAACAAAAAATCATCTTTTCTCATTGTTTTTATTTACAGCGTGAAGATTCAAAGACATTAGCCATCTAATCAGGAAGTAATAAAGATCAGTACTGCAAAGCCTAACAGATGCAGTTCATGTACCTGTCTGGTATTAAGATTGAGGACGTTAGTAATTGATGTAACTTAAGTTTTAAAAAAAAAGGATAGTTTCATGTTTTAAAAAATCTACTAGCAAAACTATGGAAAATGTATTTGATTTTACAGAATCCTTCCTAAACAGCTTTAGAATAAAGCAACTGAAACGTACCTGTGACTGAGGGGAAGAAGATCCCCACCAAGAGGGTGAAGGAGGTGGTGATGTCTGCAAACACGTAGGGATGAGACGCTGCAGGGGGGGGAGCAGCATGGGACGAGCTGAGCGAGCTTTTCTCCACCACCTCTCCTTTGCTGAGGTAGGAGCTCCACAGGTTCTCTGTCAGGAGGAGAAGCATACTGGGAGGTTTGTTGGGAGCACTACAGAGTTTAATGGCTGCAAAACACTAGTTGGTGTATTTTATCGGGACTCTATGTGACAGAGCAAAGAACATACAAACCTACCAAGACACAGCTGTCCGTCTACACAAACTGTCTGGACAGAGAGAGACTTTATCAAGTGCAGTAGCAAGAAGCTCATAGTTAAGGGCTGGTTATACTTCCGCAGCAGTGTGTCGCAGTGAGCTTGTTGCAGATGTTTTTAATTTATCCTCCACTATAGCTTTAAGGCATTTTCATGGAGAAAAACTTTAAAGCTATAGTGGAGGATGTTCTTTTCTAGGTGGATCATCTAAATAAGTGGTCCTCCTAACTGTCAATCATTCTGGTGATATGTTTACGTAAGGACGTCATAAGTGCTCGTCCCCATTTTTACTTTGCTCCCCAAGGGGTTGCGTTAAATGCAGTGCTAAATTTCTCCACTGTGAGATTAATAAAGTTCTATTATTATTATTATGATTATATTTACTACCAGTGGCGATTCTGACATAGTGTAAAAGTTGCAAATCTTCTTTTGGAAAGTAAACCTGTATGAGCGATGGAAACAGCAACTTTTAAACAGAGCGTGCACGAGGAGAGAGAGAGGGCGGGTCTTTTCAAAACTTTGCCAAACTCTTCCTCTATACATTTAAGGTGAATGTAAATATAAAAAAGTAACTTGCCTTAATATGGAAAAAAAATATTTAGAGTGCTTCTAGAAAGCATGAATTTAATGAAAAATACACAGAAAGAAAGAAACAAATGTTTCTGTTACAACATAAAGGTTGATTTATCCTTGTTATTTTGCACAGATGAGCTGCAGGTTGAGGCATCTGCAGCTTTTCTCCCCTTTCTGTTCGGCTCCAGGGGGGGGGCGTGTTCAGCACAAACTGCGACACTACAGGTGGAAATAGAAAATTGCCGCTTACAACTTTCTCAAAGTCCCTTCATGCTTTCCAACAGCCATTTATCTGCAAGAGTCTTTCTACAATCTGTTGATCGTGGTGTATTATGAACTCAATCTCAGGATGTCTCTAGATGTTTACATTTGCAAACCCTCGCAGGTAGATCCGCTGCTTGCTCGCCATGTTTTTCCGTGAGGATCTGTCCGAGTGGTCATATATCTTCCTAGGTGTGCAGTGTGAAAGTTATGTCTGCACAGATGCTGAGGAGACCTCGAGGTGGCATCAAGCAGAAACCAAGCTTAACCCTCAGAACATTAATGCTGATACTTACTTTTTAACTTAGCTTATTAACTTTTTAAATCTTATTTTTAACTGTTTAAAGTGAACTTACTAACTTTTTCCCTAAATATCCACTAAGTATTATATCCAACATATTAGCCAACATTAGATCCATGTTTTATGAAGCAGCTTTGAGACAGAGGTGAATCCTGCAGACCACAGTTTGCCTTGTTTGCAGCACAGTGGTGAACCCTGATTTTATAGGTAAAAATAAAACAAAATTGACTTTATTTCTATATTTAACAAATAAAATACTAGATTTTAGATATTAAAGCAATGCTAACAGAAAAAGAAAACATTCCCCCTACATTATTGATTGTGCCTCATTACCGTGAAATGGAAACGTAAGCGGGAGTATTAATGAACTGGTTGCTAACGCTACCTGAAATGATGCCACTTGCCAGTCCAGGGATGCCATCGATCTCGGAGAAGTTATTGGAGCTGAAATATTCGTCACAAGTCGTGTTGAGCTCTGGGCTATGGCAGAATGCCCTCCAAAGATCTGTGGTCTTTTCCTCCACAATAGAAGCGACGGTGGAAACGACGGTGGGTCCAGCTGTGCTGTTTTCTAGCGGCAGGGTTCAAACATATTAGCACGAACTGACAATGAAAACGACTGGCCAAAGAGCAGAGGCATCCACCCACCGTAGAGGTACGTGGCGTTACTGTCATAGCTTTCCATTGTGTATTTTATCTCCACATTTATTTTCCCGCACTCGCCGTCATTAATAAAGTGGCTGTTGATTGTTCTGTTCCCCAGCATGCAGACTCTGTTGAAAAAAAAACAAAACACCCAGAAATAAATAAGAGAGAGGAACACACAAGTGAGTATGTCATGATTATACAAAATATACAGATTTTATTACACTGCAACTCCCAATTTAACTGAATCTCATAGGGATTATCTGTGAATCTGAAAGGTGTGGCCTGTATATATTGAGCCCGTTTCAAGTCTTGAATACAGCTGGATGTTTTTAAGGACTGACTGACTGATTACCAGTCTGAGCTCATTCACACTGAGACAAACCAGCACCCTTCTCTCAGTGGAAGAAAGACTCTTTCCACGGCATGATGCAGCCACCGCCATGCCTGATGCACTGCAGCTCCTCCAGTGATGCCCTGGGTTTTTATGTTGCCTTTCTGGTTAATCTTCGCCGTGGTCTGCCTTTCAGGTTCACCTTTATATCTTTATAGGGTGGCAGATGTCCCATACAAGGAACATAAGTTATCCATTAATGAATTCAGCTAAAAGATTTTATTAATCAACTAACAATTAATTGAGCAGCACGATCAAAGTGACAAAAGTTGACTGAAGCACAGCTCATGTGAGTATAAAGCACACATGTGCACTTATGGCAGAATTCTAACCACATATTTGACCCCATGAACCACAGTAACTCCCAGAAGCGCACAGTGCTCGTTGCCAGCATCTCTTTTTAAGTCATGTAAGAGACGTTCAGAGTAAAGCCCGACACTTCTCCATCATCACATCCTCACCAATCAAGCTCAGCAGAGAAGTTGACGCTGCTCCACTATGCAGCGTGGCTAAATAAGCGCCATTAAGTGATAGCTTAAGAGTTAACTGCAAAATCGAAAATATCTGTGACAAGCTCACTGCGACACACTGCTATGCATGTTTCTGTTCTAGCGTGGCTCCTCTGCTTAAAAATGAGCAGTGGTGCCTCTAATGGACAGCAGCAACACTACAACACTATGATACATTGCTTTTAAACCGATGTTATCAATTAATCACAAGGAAACAATTTTAATCAAATAAACCAATAATTAACAATTGTTGGCAAGTTGATTATTTGTCTAAATCTCCATACAAATACGTTTCTGTCTAAAGAACACTTTCATCCTAATATATTTCATCGTAATTGGTTTTGAAACGAATCATATTCCTCCCACTTCTCGTCAACCTTTACATCAGGTCGACGTTTTGGCGGATTTGTTACGATCCCATGTTGGGATGATGTTTAAGACATCAAAATCAAATTAAATACTTAAGAACCAATGATGAAATAACACAGGTGGATCCCATTTTCCGTTAAAGTGCCGCTGGTTGCTTACACTGGATTTTATCACTTTTATTTTTGGTTATTAGATAAAAGAGGCCTACATATAAACACACTGCTGCAATGTGACAAAACATAGAAAAAGGTTAAAAGGGAGTATTTCTAGGAGGTACTTACGGAAAACTAGGTTTACTGAAGGCGGAGACCAACGCCCCTACGTAGATGGAAACAATGGAGACGATGACACAGGCCAGGAAGATGGAGGCCAGCTTGTTGACGTACTTTACGCCCACAAAGACCAGCAGGGACATCAGGAGGAGACAGATGCTGCCGTAGACCCGCATGTTGTTCAACATGGCCGCTCCCTCGCCTTTAAAGATTGCAGCCTGAGGTACAATGTACATCTGAGGAACAAAGGAGAAGAAAGCGTTGAGGAGAGGAAATATAAACACTTTTATTTTAGGTTATTATCAATTACTTTAGATGCTTGATGCGTGTTTATTACATTTAAACACTAGAAAAGCACTCTGATAGCAAGAGTGTAACTTTGTGATGAAAGTTGGTGGCGACACTCTAAGGGTGGGGGCTGATGGACCTACAGTTAATCAATCTGAACGCTTTCATCGGGTTTTTGTATTTTCCAAAAACAAGCTCAAACACATATTTACTGAATGCCTTCCTATTGTTGAGAACACAAGACAGCCATAATAAGCGGATATTTATATTTAACAATGTAAGACAGAGATGCCTTTTAGTGCATTTACATGCAAATAAAAAAAAAAAAAAAACGAATAACAGCCGATTCTGATGCCAAAAATCGATAAATCATACACCTCTACAATTTACAATTTCAATTCCATCAATCCAGTAAAATATGCATATGCTTCATTTTAAATATAGCATAGCCTTTTTTTTTTTATTGTAAACTTTCTGGTAAACCTGGAGATCTATTTTATTGCAATGTTTCACCTTTATATCTGCAGTTCTCCCTACTTCTCTCGATGCTCCGTTTAAAAATATTTATGAACCTCTTTACATATATACATAATTATATATATAACGATGCCAGAAACTAAATTTCAAGATATGTAGAAGCTCTGCAGTCTGATATAATAAGAAAACATGTTAATTTTAACCAGTAACTGGGAGTCATGGTCCTCTGAGAAGCCAAGATTTTTTTTAACTAGTAAAGAAGAACAAACTAGGTTTTCTCAAGCTTCTTGCATTATATCACTATATCACTGTATAAATTTACAATCTGTTGCCATTTTAGCTGAAAAAGCTCCGTATGTCTAGGAAAAAGATTTTTCAGATCTCAAATTTTTTTAACCAACCAATCTCTTAACTTTTACTTAAACATCGAAGTAGCTGCTGGTTAATATTCACTGAGTGCTGCTGTGTCTCTCAGACAGAAAAACACAAACTCCACTACAAACATGACCGCTTTAGGGGAGGTAATGACTGAAGCCGAGTCCTACCAAGAAGATCTCGATGGCTCCCAGGATGTACATGGCTCCAGCGAAGGTGGTGCCCAGGTAAAAACAGATCCCCACGGCTCCACCGAACTCTGGACCCAGAGAGCGGCTGATCATGAAGTAGGAACCTCCAGCTGGATGGAAGGGAGGGGGTGCAGCGGTGGGGGGAGGAAAAAATGATGGGAGAAAACCAGGAAGTAAGAAGAGAAGAAAGACGAGAGGAGTCAGAGGAATGGTGGAGAGAAAAGGAATGGAGAGTTGGGGAGGGTGAAAGGAGAGAGAAGAGGACAGCTGATGAGTTAATTCTCTCTATGCTTACAGATGGTTTAAACAGAGCTGAATGGAGTTAGCAGACAGGTCGCTAATTTGCTCAACATGACACCACTATGTTAGATTTTTCATTAAGACTGTTTTTTTCCTCTTCGTGCATCTGTAAGGTGAGTGTTCTTCCTCATAGGGGAAACACAGCGTTCTGCCTTTGTAGCTCATGATAGTGATTGGTCTACTAGCATGAACCCGCCCCTTTATACGTGCGCGTTCACAGATTCATGATCAGTCAGAGCTGGATTGAGTTAGTGAGCTGATAACCAGGTTTGAGGTAACGCTGATCCTGATTGAAATTGTTGTGGATTAGTTTAACTGGATAGGCTGGGAGTAAAACTGCTAGGTTGAGCTCACTGTGTGGGACGGGCCTCAGGCATCTGTCAAATCTTATATAATTAGAAGTTCTCATTCCTCTTCAATAAAGAAGAGTATCTGAGAACATTAATTTGTCCTGCAGCTTTTCTTTACAGCCATATAGTAGCACAGGAGCTAAAAGAGAAGCACTAACAACTCGTTGTGTTGACAGAAGGTAAAAAAAAACTGATATAGATTCCTCTTCACATAATGCCAGGTGTCACCACACTGATAAACATACTAAATAAATTGAAGGCACATGTTGTTTGGCTCAACTGGAGCTAAATAAGCCTGGAGGAATTGCCAGACTGTAGACAACTTCTACCCAGTGTGGGTGGACTGAGATGCTGAAATTAGCACAGAGGGAGAAAAAGAAGGTTGGCAGAACTTAAGCTACACGTCATACAATTGATATGCTATCAGTTGTTGACAGGAAAACAACCGTTACTGTTTCTTCCTACAAATTGTAAACACAGAGGCAGAGGATGCGTTCATCTTTGTTACACATAGTGTGTTAACACCAACACCTTTACTGAATCTTTGGTCAATTCTAATTGATGTGTTTGCTAATTTCTCTGCAACTATTCACTGTTTACTTTCATAAAAAAAGAATAGCTAAGAAAATAAGCCAGTGCATTTTAGGCCTTTTTTCTTTCCAGATCTCAAAGATCTTGGCTGGCGGTACAGCTGCACTGAACAGAATTCAGCAGCACAGAGATGTGAAGGTGAAGCTTCATCAGCGAGGACTCCACACCTCTTTGCCATCAATGAAGTTGGCTAATGTCTGATTATGGTTAACAAACTGGTGAAACAGCTGCTTCTCATCTCTAGAAACTCTCCAGACCAGCTAATGTCCATTTCACCGAAACCTGGCTCAGTGAACACAACCCTGACTGCATCATTTTACCGTCTTGATTTGCTCTTGTGCTGGTGTGGTGATGTCAAAGTTTCAATCTTAAGAATTAG